GGGAGGCCGTGAGAGAGTCGCGCGGGGCCAACAAAGGGGCCGGGAAAAACGAAGAAAGAAACGGCCGCAACTGGCCGTCGAGGAGAAAGCGCCCGTGGCGCGACTAGGGGAAACGCAAAGCGCGCTCCGGGCAGAAAAAAATTTCTTAAACGTGGTGGGCCCTTCCTAGGAACCTTCCTGCTCTATACCATGTCAAGGTGAGAGAGGAATGATGTCGACTAGTTTGGGGCATGGGGTACAAAAGTGACGAGAGAAAAGTTGTACCCCCTAAGAAACACCCCTACAAAACCTAAACCTAAATTATATAAATCATATAATTTGACACAAGCGGCGGACCTCGTCTTCCAGCTGCTGCTTGTTGGCCAGCAGGCGCGCCCTCTCCTCCCTCAGCTCACTCTTCTCCGCCTTGAGCTCTTGGATCTGCTCGCTCATGTGCTCCGCGGAGCCCCTCAGCCGGCTCGTCTCCGCCCTCAGCTGCGCCAGCACGCGCACGGCGTCCACCAGAATGCTCCCCCTGTCCGCGCGCGCCAGCTCGCTCCTCTCCAGCGCCCGCGCCAACTCCTCGAACCTGAGGTGTGGGGGGGGGGGGGGAGGGGGGGGGGTAACTAAGAAGGGGATGAGGGATTGAGAGGGAAGGACAGAACTGAGGGGGAAGTTGATAATGTGCCCAAAAAATAGGCGCTGCGAAAGAATGCGGCTGCATTCCTCGAGAAAAACGAGGAATCTTCGAGACCACACAGCAGGACGAAAGCGAGTGATGATGGAGTATGGAGAGCACCCAGCAGACAGCAGCAGCGTCGCACCTGTCGTTGAGTCGGTCGCAGCGCATCTTCTCCTGATTGGCCTTGTTGCTGTTTGACTCGCTCGGCTCCTCTCGCTGCCTGGCCTCACACGCGGGGGACGTCGGGAGAGACGTGAGAAGGGGGAAGCCGCCAGGAGAGGGGAGGTTGTGAGATGGGGAACGCCAAAAGCATTGGAAGAAATGAACGATTGGCCAATAACGAGGAGATGGAACGAGACGAAGGGCAGAGTTGCTTTCAGGACCAATGCGGTCGCGGGTAAAGACGCCAAGGAAAGTATAGAGGCGCCAAATGCCTTGCCTTTTATGGGAGGCAGCGCCGCCGGTGTAGTGCACTTGGTCCCTGCGACTGCCGTGCCACGACCCGGGGTCCCTACCATGCGACGGCTGCTTGTCCGCCGCACTGCTATCATTGGCCCGACTGGACGCCCTGTCCGCCGCACTGCTCTCATTGGCCCGACTGGACGCCCTGACACGGGGGAAGGGTGAAGGGGGAAGGGAAAACATGAGGAGCCCGTGGAAACCGAGGAGGGGGAAAGGGGAAATGGGAGGAGACGTGAGAAGCGAGGACGGGCCTACTAGCAACGCCGGCAACCATGGCGAAGAGAGACGAAACGACACTGCAAAAGGCGCTTTAATGGCCTGATATGTCGCCGCTGCAGATTGTGAATTGTGCGAAACCACACTTACCTCTCGGAATCCTGGCACGCGGAATCATGCTGCTCGGCCAGCATATTCTCCAGTAGTTGTGTGGAACGCCCGACACCGTCAACGTGAAAGAAGACGGAATCAGTCAAGTCTTTCATCCATTGGCACTGGCTGGTAGGGAACGACCCTGACAGCGCCGCCATGAGGGTGAAATGTAGGTAGCGAAATCGCGGAAAGGACGGAAGGGGCGTAAAGAAAGGCTTCCGGATGTTTGACGAGTCGTCAGGCAGATGAGGCTTGAAAGCTGAAGTAATTTTGGCGACTGGATGAGGCAATTCTTGACGAGAAGCAGAACGCGGTTGGACAAGAAAAGGTTTGCGCCACTGCAGAAATGGCGAATTGCGGACTGAATAAAGTGACAAGGACAGTCGCAAGATAAAAGGGAACCTAGTACTAGCCCAGGGCGAGGCGGCAAGACAAGACGCACGGTCAACAAAGTGGTGCGGAGAACACCGCACGTGTGCTCTAGGTTCGGCATGAGCTCAAGTGACAGACAGGGTTCACACACACACACACACACCCTACACGTTACTAACGTTACACTAGGGATAAAGACTAGATAGTTGCCGAAGCAGCCAGGAATGGAAGGATAGGGAAAACGCCCGAACATTGCGCGACGCGACGCGAGCCGCCACACCTTTTTGCTCGACGACCATTGGAGGTCGAGATGGGCGGAGGCATGATAAGGCAGCAAACTGGAACGGAGCACGCCACGTCACCAAAAAATCGTCGGGTTTCTGGGCCTTCAATTTCTGTGTAGTGGTACAATAGCGGTCGAGAAACCGGTAAGCAGCAAAATCGCCACCACGCACACACCGCTTAGCAGGCGGCTACCGCCACGCGAGCCGCTAGCGCTGCGACTGGGAGGAAGAGAGTGAGAGAAAGAGTGTGGAGCGAATCGTCGTGACGTGGCTGGTCTGGTAACTTAGGGAAGGGGGACAAGGTGAAGGATGGGGAGGATCGGTGGGCGCGTCGCTACTAGTTGGGGGGGAGGAGGGGGGGGGGGGGGGGGGGAGATGGTGGGGGGGAAGGGGGAAGGGGGGGACAGGTGAGGGATGGCTTTGAACTTTGAAAGCAAGAACGTCCCCGTTCGAGTTATCGTCTTGACTTTATCTGCACCGCTGTCTCCTCCACACAAATCCTATCTTCAACTGGAAGGGTGTGTGAGAAGGTGAGGAGAAGTCAAAATAACCAATCAGTACCGTTTTGAAATACCTATGCACCATCGAGTTTTACAGAATCGCCTTGTCTGCAACATTTGACTCTCACATCGCCTCACCACTCCCTATTGTCGATTAGGTGACTTTTGAGCGACCCAAAGGCCAGTGGCGACGTTCCGATGGGCCCCCTACCCACTAATTCCCGTCGCGCCCTCCGGCTTTTTCAAGCTTCCCCTCCGCCCTCCCCCCTTTCTCGATCTACAGAGGGCGACTCGGGAGGATCTGACCAGATCAAACCCTTTCCCGACGCGATTCCGCCTTTCCAAGCTCCCCCCTCCCCCACCCCACCCCACCTGTCTGATCTGGACTGGAGGACATTCCGCGCATCTTGAGGAGTGTTTCGCGCTACCTAGCGAAGATTGGGTTCGGTTACAGTCCAGATCAGACCGAGTAACCGCACCGAACACCCCAGCGGAATTCGGTCGACGGAGCCGAATTGCCAGTGTCGTCGAGGGGGGTCGTCGAAGCCTGGGCTGACGGGGCGGAGCACTGACGCGCGTGCGGGCCCGCCAGCCTGGCCCAAGGCTGGGCCGAGCGCACGACCGCCGCCTCGCGGCCCCGCCCCGAATGTGAACAGCGGCCCACGTTACCGGGTGGGGTAGGCGAACTGGCGACACCTCGCGCGTGGGAAAATTACCCTCGCGCGAAGGCAGCCCACACGCGCCACCTGCTCGCGAGGTCCTAGTAACCCATCGCGGCCTGCCCGGACGGGCAGGCGAGGGCCGGGCGAAAAGTCGGGGCCCCCTCGGGACGCTCGACAATTTTGCGACCCGTTGCGGTGACGCCACGTGTTCGCTCGTGGTTTCGCATCGGGCGCATGCGATATTTTTGTCGTTGCAAGCGAAAAAAAAAAAGGCCGCGACGCGGACAACGAGGTTCGTTACCCACTACGAAGTCGACACGTGTTGTGCGAATGCACGCTCATCGCGCACGCGATATTGCGTCCCCTCGCCGACCAGGGACAATGGACGCGAGGTCGACGCCCTGCCGAAGCGGAGTCGGACCACCTGTTCCACTTGCGCATGCGCCCTCAGAGCCCTGCCGAGCCAGGCCCCACACCCTTGGGCGACGCTGAACGGGGATGCGGTGGGCCACCGTCTCCTTTTCTTTGTGGATGGTGGCCTCGCTCCCCATTTTCCGCATCTCGTTTCGCTCCTCCTTTTCCTTTTTTCCTCCTTTCGTTGCTCTGTGCGGCTATCGTGATATCGCTTCCCCTTAGTCGGTATGGACCCTAGCCCTGACCCCGATAACTCGGCGCCGACTTCGGCTGACTTCCCTCTTCGTCACCAAATGGGTCCTGGTCTCAGCTTCACTTTAGAGTGGGAAGACTTCTTAGTTCTTCGCAACCACAAGATAGAGTTCAACGACGGATGTTTGGATTTCGGCATCAGGTACGACTCGAGTAGTCGGCGCCGACTTAACTAGGTTGGGTGTCGACGCAGTGGCCTTCTGATTTACGTCGACGTGCGCGGTATTAGGCATAGACCCCCTCCAGGAACGCCGGCCACCTTAGGAATCGTCGACCACACGTAGTCGCCCTCTGTACTTTTCGGCGTTTGCTCAACCGCCCTTGTATGAACCTCCTTGCCCAATCGTGCCGTCAGGTTCGCGTGGTCCCGACTTGGGATCGAGAACCAGCGTTTGTGGGTTCTCGACGTCGGCACGCTTCGATCGGCCATGCGGCTGGCCGACCATTCATGCTTTGCTGCGGTTTTCGACGCCGACATCGCCGCTATCCCGTTAAGAACGATGTGAGCTGTTTCACCTTTGATCAGTTATCGTTGTTTAGTGTCGCGACATCGCGTGGTGATGTGATCGACGTCGTCGTGAATTGCATGTGCAGCCTCGGTGCGCTTCCAGGAACGCACTGCAGCGTCATTGCCATCCTATACCCTGGAGATCTGTTGAAGGCTGAGGGACAGGTGTGCAGGACCTCAATCCGGCACATCGACCCGCAGACCGGTAAAGGGTATCACCGCGACGAGGCCGCCCGCGTGCTAAAGTAAGTGCTGAATTGTCGTCGATGACCCGCTTGTTAGTCGGCGACACAGGGTATCACACGCTGACCGCCTCCCCCCACCGCGGTGCTTCAGGTTCTTCCGCACGGCTGTCCTGGCCGAGCTGGGGCGTCCCGGTAGGATGTGGGACTGGGCGCCGCCATCACAAGCAGTGGTGGAGGTCAGGCTGGCCGACTGCGACCACCCTATCCGCGATGTGAGTTGCACGTTCAAGTCGCAAGGGGGGGGTGCCCGTTTCTGAACGCTCCGCTCATCATGTTCCGTGCTTGTATGCAGAAAGTGCCGGGCACAGTGTCGGACGGGCATGTCGGTGCCGGCGTGCTTTCCGCGACGTCGTTCGGGTGGGTAGCAAAACAGATCGACCATCTGACAGGCGAGAAGGGTCGTCGTGGGGTGAGCATCGAGAGCATCGGGATGAAGGGGCTGAAGGCTTTGCGCGACAGCATGGTTGAGTACGTCGGCAAGGTCATTGCCGTAAAACGCACCGCGACGCCAACTTCTCTAGCCGCCGGACCCGCCGACAATGCCATAGATGACGACGTCGCGGAAGGACAGAAGGCGCCCCAAGGTGCAGTTGCCGCCCAGCATCATGGGAACGCGAGGGTGCATGGGGAAGGTGGAAACGGTGGAGGAGACGACGCAGAGGCAGGTGCAGGAAGGTCGGAAACGGAGAAGTCGTCGTCGTCGTCGTCGTCGGAGTCGGAGTCGGAGTCGGAGGAGGAAGACGAGGCGGTGAAGCGTAAGGACGAGGAGGAGTATGAGGAGGAGGAGGAGGAGAATAAGGACGAGAATGGTGAGAAGTGGGAGGGAGGGAAGGATGAGGAGGGGGGGGATGAAGAGGTGGAGTTCGTGGTGGAGTATGTAGAGGGTACGGTTGAGGCGGGAGCGGCGGAAGAGGCGGTGGGGTCGGCAGATCAGGGGAATGAGGAAGAGAAGGATGACGGCGCGGGAAATGCTACGAGGTCGGCAGATGTGGGGAAGGAGAAGGGCGAGGTCGGCGTGGAGGCACCTGGAAATGGCCAAGATGAGGCGGCCTGCAAAGGAGGTGGGAAGGTGTCGGTCGACGCCGGCGAAGGGCCGAACAACACGGGCGAGCAGGAGGCCGGGGAAGCACCTGGTCGGCAGGGCCCAGAACTGGACGACGTCGAGGTTCTGCGACGGGAAAACTGGTTGTTGCGGGCGGAGAACGCTCGGCTGGCGTCGTTGCTCGATGCGGAGCGGTCCCGGCTGGACAGTTTTTTTGTTGGGGTCAGTCGACTCGTCGACCACGTTAAAGGGTTGGCCGAGCAGGTCGACGACACCGACAAGTATGCCGCGGAACAGCTGCGAAACGCGACGGAGGCCATGTCGAAGACCATCACGGGCAACATCTCCGGCAGCTTTGACGAAGCGTGGAAGTCGATGAAGACTTTCACGGAACATGCGACGGAGTGGTTGGAGGACTTCGACAATCCGGAGGGTCGTGTCGCGTATGCACGAGCGTTAGCGGTCTCCTCCTTGGCCGAACACGTGGATTCGGTGGTGGGCGATGCGAAGAAGGGGTTGGAAGAGTACATCTCGAACCACCTTGCCTCCGCGCAGGTCAACATCGCCACCGCTTTGACCGCCAGGCTCGCCGTGCCGCCGCCGCCACCGCCTCATCCCACGCCGCCCGCCATCCCAGAAGAGATTTTGAAGTCGTTCAAGGCCGACATCCTGAAGGCGGTGACGGAGGCCACCCAGCAGTCTTTTGTTGCTTCCGGGATGAAGATCATGACAGAGATGATCGGCACTGTGGCTCCTGGTCGACGTGGGTCGTCGCCTTCGGCCAATGACGCCGATAACGCGCAAAGAAAAACGGCCGAGAAGCAGGGCCATAAGAGGACCGGCGATGGAGACGACAAGGGGAGCTCGAAGCGGAGCAAGGGAGCGGACGGTAGTTTCGGGTCGAAGCCTGCGCAAAAAAGCGTGGTCGACCAGCTGAAGACGAAGGCGGGGTGGAAGGTGGTAAGGACGTCGCACAGCAAGGGAGGCGGAAGCGGGGGAGTAGAGGGTGGCCCTGCCGACGGGGTTGCCGCTAACCTAGCTGCTCCGACTGGCCCGCCTTTGGTCGCCGAGCAGACCCATCCTCAGGCGAGCGGTGGGAAAGGCGTTACCGACAAGGAGGTGCCAACTGCTCAGGCGGCGAATGATGGTGACTCCGGAACCACCAAGGGACCACCCGTCGCGGCGGCGGCCAAGCCTGCTTCTGCTACGGTTGCCGGCACCACCAAGTCGAGTCCCCGTAACCCCCTTGCGGCTACCAGCGCGCCTGCCGGCCAGTCAGGTGCGAACAAAGATGGCGAGGCTGCTCCAGCTCCAGCAGCCCCGACTGCCGCCAAGGTTGTCGCGAAGGTTGCTTCGGCTAAGGGTGATGCCATGGCATCAGCTAAGGCCCCCCCCGGTGGTACGGCGCTCAGAGAGATGCTCCGCCGCATGGAGGCACATAGCAGGGACGTGCAGCAGCATCCCGTGGTCGACGCCGGCCTTCCTGGAACAGCACGCCGCTCCGTCACTACGCAGGTTGCCGGCAAGTCGTCCGGTGCCCCACCTGCCGCGCCTCCGGTGGCCGCCCCACCGCCTGCGGACCCCAAGTCCGATTTTCTTCGCGCCCATTTAGGCGCACGCAAAGCAACTGCTCCGTCAGTGACCCTGCCGGAACTCGGCAAAAGCGCGACGCCGATGTCGGTAAACGCGACCGCACCCACACCAGGTGCATCTGTGGTCGATGTGGCGGCGGAGAAGGGAGTGAGTGCAGCGCTCGCCACCGGCGGCCGCGCAGACAAGCATGCCGACCTCGCTGTCGTCATGGCCCATTTTGAGGCAGCAAAGCGCCCCGAGCACGCCCCTGTTATGGCCATCATGGACACGGCGCATGTGGTGCCGTCGGCGACCCACAGAGGGGGTTCGACGGAGCAGACGGCCGCAACGGCTGCTGTCGCCGAGATAAATGCTGGACGGAAGGAAAAGGACGACAAAGGGAAAGGGAAGGCGATCTCTCAGAGGAGCACGCGGGCGATGACTGCGGGGAAGTTGACGTCGGAAGAGAAAGGAAAGAAGGTGGAAGGGGAGAAGGACAAGACGGGCGGCAAGGGTAAGCCGGCGAAGAAGAAGGAGAAGGCGGAGGAGGAGGACGAGGAGGGCGGCGAGGGAGATAAAGAGCATGGACGCAGGGGTCATGGCATCCGCGAGACAAGGCTGGCGACGGGCAAGGGTGGGTGGGCGAAATTAAGGTACACGGACAGAATCGGTACATCGGCAAGTCGAGGGAGAAGATGGAGCTGGCCTACGAGCACGCGATTGCGTTCGTCGTCTACGACGGCTACGTGAGCAAGGTGCTCATGAAGGAGCTCACCGTCTTGAACCCGGGGGAGTTGGATAAATGGAAGGAGGTGTGGGCGGAGGTGAAGTTGTTGCCCACTGGGATGTGGACGGTGATGTGGGCCAGAGGCTTGTGCCATCCGAGAGCAAGGTAAGACGGATACTGACGTGCCGAGTTTTGTCGACCAAGTTGGTGTCAAAACGTTGAAGTCCTGTCGTTTTAATGTGTTTGCGCGGCAGGTTCGACGATATACTCGCCAGGTACCGTGGGTACGCGAGTTCGGGTGTTGCGCTTCATGACGTGCTCTGGCCGGTGATCTGGTTCCCCATCATCGAGGACACGGAGGAAGGCAAGGAAGAGACGAACGCTCTCATGTCGGCGATGGTAAATCGCGTGTCGATGTGCGCGGCGTATGGGAAGGTCGCGGCGAGCGCGGCGTTTGGGAAGGTCGATGCGAGCGTGGAGGGGAAGGCGGACGAGAAGATGGAGATGGGGGCCCAGGCGTTAGCGGCATCGGCATGCGCCATCTGGTGCCTCTTGGAGACGGGGGCGTCGGTGCTCGGTGCTGTGGGCGAAGGGAAGGCGGCGGCGATGGTGGCAGGTGCGGGGGAGGCGAGGGCCAAGGACTTCAAGGAGGTGATGCACGCGGTGATCGACATAGCACGCAGCAGGCAGGCTCCCGCTGGGGAGGTTGCACATAACGTCGCGCCATCGCTGCAGAGCCAGGCAGTTGCTAGGGCCTTCGCGAAGGGAGTTGAGGAAGTCGAGGCCGACATGATCGCAAGAGCGACGGTCGAGACCTTGGCGTTCTGGGGAATGTGCCCCGTCGCCGGGCCCAAGCTCAAAGCGCAGGGCATCGATGTGCCGTGTGACGCGAGGATGGAGTACGATATGGATCACAGGGGGAGGAAGGGGGAGAAGGTCAAGCAGAGCAAGGGCAGCAGCAAGAGGAAGAATAGCAAGCAGGGCATGGGCAGTACGGATGCGTAGTTGGCGGGCTGCGGTGTGCAGGGCACTATTGTATGGTTGGCGCCGATGGCCAAGTTATTCTAATGACTTTTGTATCGTAGGGCACGAATCTTTTTCCGTTTTTTAGTAAATCACTGTCCACATTGAAACTTGCTAGCCGACTTTGAACGATGCGCCTTGTCGGCGCATGTGTCGACATCAAAAGGAACATCCTACTCGGCGAGCAGCGATGATAGACGGGGTTGACACATGCTATTCCGCGACGAGATATGTCGGCGAATATGTCGACGCCCTATCGACATGCAATCGTGCGAGACGTCGACATGAATAAGGCACAATGAATTGCAAACACATGGTGGCGACTATGTCGGAGTCCGACATATCTGGTTCGGATGTATGTGTTGGATCATGTATGTTCGTGTTGCATCACCATCAACAAGTACAATGGGAACACATATGTTGCTAAATTAGGGCATCAACCTACGCTAACACATATGCACCGAGGATGTTCATGCCGACTTCTTGCGCTTTGACGGAGGACGCTGCGCAGGTGCGGTCTGCTTGGCCAAGTCGGCCTCGGTCTTCGGCATCTGCTCCTCCCAGGTGTCTGGAAACAGGCGGTCGACCCACGTCGTCAGCTTCAGCTCCAACGCCACCAGCGCACAGGCGAGGCGTAGCTTCGAGACCACCTTGGGGCCAAGCCCCTTGACGCCCATGCCAGGCTCCTTGGACATCGTCGGTGCCGTCTCCGAGTTGAGCACCGTGAGGGCATCGCAGAAGGTCCCAATGCCCGGTGCCGCGATCGTGTTCAGTGCATCGACCACGGCTTCGGTGTCGGCATCGCCGTCGCTCGCGCGTAGCTGGCGCACCGCATCCATGGCCTTCAGCATGCGGCGCACCCTCATGTTGAGTGCACCCTGGGTCGCGCCTTTGAGGAGGGTGTGGCGGTCGATGAACCCCGGCTCGGCGACCCTGTCGCAAAGACGACGGGTGTCATTGGCGGTGGCGGAGTTCCAGAGGCGCCAAGCGTCCCGCACGGTCTTTGAATCCCGCCACGGTTGCACCACGTTGAGCTCGTAACTGGCCTCCTCTGCCGTCTGGGGGGGTGGCGGGGGTTTCCCATCATCTCTCTTGGCTCCGGTCCCCGTGTTGGCCGAATCCGCGGAGCCACCCTCGCCCGGAGTTTGATCGGTCGCCGACGGCGGCGCCGCCGGCATCCTCCGGGCTTCTGACACACGGAGTGCCTCGGTGAGTCGAGCAAGCTCGGCGGTGAGCGACGCGATGGTGTCGTTTTGCTTCTCGATCGTCTCCTGGTAGCCTAGCTTCTCGAGCGCCGAGCGCTCGACCTCCTTCTTCAGCGCCTCCTTGAGGGACATGTTGTGATACTGGGTGTCCATGCGCACGGATATTTCCTGCAATGTTGAGTGTGCGGAAAGGCGACAAGAGGTTAGAATTCACCGGCTAAAATTCAACGACGCCGACATGGTCGGCGACTCGCCTCCGGTTGTATCTGAGTCGGGTCCCGGCGCTTTTTGATCGTATCGGTGTCGACCGACTCGACCCTTTTCGCCCAGTGCTGGAAGAGGGCAATCCTGCAGAGCTTGGAACCTTGGACGTACGGGTGCCACGGTGTGCGGACGAGCTTCACCGCGAGGTCCTCGGCGACGATTCGTCGGAACATCACGAGGGTGCGCAAGAAGTGCACTGCGGCTGCATCGGCGTCGCTCCCGTTGACGGCACGCGTCTCCGCCTGCAAGTCGGAAAGTGGCGTGGGTTAGTAGGGAGTTGGGCAGCCAACTAGGCGACGATGACTGAAAAACATTGTCGGCGTCGCGTGACATACATCGCGCAGCATAGCATCCACGCCGGGGAAGATGTGCTCGGCGAGCAGGTCCAAGAGTTTGTCGGAGGGCTCGACCCTGCTGCGCCCCAAGAAGTAGTCTTGCTTGAGTCCCGAGTAGCCGGCCTTCTGCATCACCACCCCAACGGGAATGGCCGTGATGTACGCACGCGTCATCTTGTCGAGAGCCCGGTGTCCCAGCTCGGCGATCTGGGCGCGCGGCGTCCCTCCGATGGCTAGCTCCTGCGCACCACCGGCGCGGGCGGCGTGCACGTTCCTTTTGCAGAACACCTTGTTGGTCCTCCACATCTGCCGAGTCCAACGTTGGTGGGTGGCGGAGGAGAGCTCCTCCGGCTCCTTGTCGTTTCTGGCGAAGAAGAGATGCTTCTTGTACCAGCGTTCGCGTTCTGTGGTGTCAAGCGGCGAAAGGAAGTCGGTGCCGGAGAACTGACCGATCTCGTCGAGGATGAAGTGCAGCCACAGGCCGGTCTCGCCGACGGCGCACAGCTCCGCTTCCAGGTGTCGCGCAGCGTAGCTCTGCTGAAGACGGGCATCCTTGGAAGTCTTCGAGTTACGCGCAGCGATCACCATGACGACCGGCTGGCTATCCGGGTTCACCTCCGAGGTGCTCGCCAGGTGGTACAAGAAGACGTCGGGGAGCGTGATCTCGCGGATGCTGGCGCCGCGCAGGAGAGTGTGGTGGGAGAGTAGCGTGAGCACCTTGATGAGCAGGAATCGCCACAGCGTCTGCGACGGAGTGGTAGCCCGCGGGTTCCACGCCGACGCCGCCCATGTCGGCAGCACCCTCATCATGATCTGGCGGAACTGCTCGGCGGTGTAGGTATCGCCGATGGTGCCGCGTCGACGGTCGGCGCAGTTCCTGAACGCAAATCGGCGGGGAAAATCTGTTAGACTGCGTCGACTTCACAGTGGACAGTGATATATAATATGGTTGTCGACCAACTTACTTGATGTCCCTCTCGTTCTTGTGGCGGACGTTGAACCGCACCTCCGATCTCACCACCGAGATCTCCCTCATGATGCCCAGCTCCTTCTCTCGGTACAGCGTCGCCTCCACCCTCGCCGCCATTTGGCATGCCTTTATGCGGCCGAGGATCGTGTGCACAGTTGTCGACCTCACAGGCCCCGTTCGCGTGGCATTGTTCTCCTCCCCGGGCTGGTCAGCAATGAGGTTACACTCACGGCTCATTTGCTTCACGTAGGCGCGCAGCCGGGCTTCGGTGACCTTAGGGCCGTGCAGCCATATGTACTCTCGGCGGACCACTTTCTCGTTGCACCAATCCTTTTTCTTGTTGTCGCTGATGTAGTGGCCGATCTCGTCGACGTGCCTAAGTCGTTGCTCATGGGGGAGCTTGTCGCGTATCTGCTTCAGCATCTTCGCCGCCCACTTCTTGTAGTGGTAGATGAACGCGGTGTACAGCCTGAGCGTGCTATTCTTCTCCAAGCATTGTAGGTGTCGTAGGGCGTCCATTATGAGCACGTCAATGCTGGAGTACACCATGTCGTCCACTACAAAGTCCGTCGCCTTCCACCCTTCGCGCGGCACCGCCATGTGCTGATTGTCCTCCTTCTCGTCCTCTTCGAGCATGTCACGTATGTATTCAAATTCCCGCCTAAGGCGTTCTTCCAAGGTGCGCGGATTCGTGCTACGCGGAGGACGGTCGTCGACTTCGTCGTCGCTCTCTTCCTCGTCGTCGTCGTCGTCATCACCTTGGTTTTCCGAGCCGGCCGGCACCGACGAAGGTCCAGTCTGCCCATCTGCCGTCGGTGTCGACTTCTTCGTAAAATCCCCAATTGGCGGATTCGGTATGTCGTTGGCGTACTCCCCTTCGGTAATCTGAGTAAGTTTGTCAAGATCGTAAAGCAACTTCAGCGTCTCTATGGGGGCAGAGGACGGACTGTGGTCGGTTAGGGTACCAACGTTGGGCATGTCGACGTCGTCCATGACCGCTCGTATGCTCTACCGCCGGCCGTGGAAGAGGGAAAGATTGGTAAACCAGAGACGGAAGTGATTCACGTCGACGCCTTAGTGCCGACCGAAGTCTATTCCAGGTCGACACCTGAGTGCCGCCGCTGGGTCGACTCGGCCGTCGAGTAACCTAGACCCGCAGAGACAGCGAGGGTCCTGTGAAGAAAGCGAAGTGCCAGATGGCGCACAGGAGCACGAGAGAAACACGAAGCGGAACAGGCAGAATGAGAGCGTTGTGCGTGGTCAAAGAGGGGTATGGATGCGGGCCACTGCGCACCTGCCGCGCTCCACGCAGCCCTCTTTGCAAGCGCAGCAGTGCACGTGCATGACGTGTCACGATCGATGCATGTTTAGTGTCACGCCGCTTTGCGCTCAATGGCACTCCCGCCGGTGCCTTGCCACGGTGGAATTCACGTGCGCCACTTGCAATAGGTAAAATAGGCCAATCACCTAGTTCCACTCTCCCGAAATGCCGTAGCGTCCTGCTCTCCCGCGCAAACCTCGTCGACCTGCGAGTAGGCGCGTGGCCGGAGGCCTGGTCGACGCCGACATTCCCTGAGTCAGGGGCTCTCTTCGCCTATGCAGGGTTTGGTCCGCACAGAACCATCCGTGTGGGTCGTGCTACTGCGGTTGGATCTTCGGGCGACACCGACATCTCATTACCACGCGTTCTCTGGCTATCTAGATGGTGGACACATGTACATGCCTTAGCCAGTCGGCTTTCGCCGCGTGGACGATGGTGACATTTTTCATCGGCGGGCCAAGTTTCGCGCGCAGCGAAAGATACAGGTGCTGCGAAGCGGGGCCACGTCGGCGTCGTCGTGGCACCTCCCGATTGTCAGGCTCGATCTCGGCCGTCCTTACTAGGCCACGTGGCCGTAATCGCGGCTCAGCGCACGACGTGTGGAGCTGTGGTTCAGGGTCCGCTGAGGTATCCTTCTCAGGTTTCTCTCAGCGAATATCGAGGTCGTCAGGTTGTCGACAATCCCGAGGGGTTGAGGGCCCCGGAGGACTGCCAGGTCGCCCCAGTTTGCCACTCGCAAGTCGTCAAGAGCTCGTCAATCCCGAGGGGGTTCGTTGTCCTATCGCAACCGCGAAATTGGGCGGCAGTTTTCGTCGGCTGTGGTATACCATCCCGTGAGAGGGTGAAGCGGGGAAGTGCGTCATTGTCCATACTCTCGCGTGCTTGTCGTCACTCAGATACTCCCTATACAACGTTAACCCGACCGATCAAGACAGAACGGCCATCAATGGCCATTGCTGTGCTGGCAGAAACAAGCACGTGACGCGAGTTCCTTATTAGTCCACAACTGACTGGCAGAATCCGAAGTGAATGCCAGAATCCGAAGAAACTGGGATGTTCATACGGCGCGGCTCGGGAAAAACCCCGCCCACGCCTTGGGATGCACGGGGCGTGGAGAAATCGCGGGAAGCGTGGGGCGAAGTCGGCCACCCAGGATCCCACCAGGTTTGGACCTAGCGCGGCCCTGCGTGGCTGAGTGAAACCCACCAGGCTGCCACCGAAAGCTCCGCGACCCCCAGAAAACCGAAGGAACCCACCTCGTTCTTACGCGCCGATGCATGCGCGACTCGGCAGAAAACGAACGCGATTGGTCGGTAACATTGACGAGCGGGACATCCCGCGCATGCAACCGCGAGTTCGCGACACAAAAGGAGTGCTACTACTGGTTGTGCTCTCTCGCAACTTATCGCGAACAAAATTCGCACAAGCATAGGTTCGTTAACCCGCACAGCGAGATCCGGTTCGGTTACAGCTGGCGCGATCTGGTAGGCTCCATGCCAGCTGACACGTGCTGCAATTTGAACGAGCCAAACAGCTGTCGCCGTTTCGTCGATGCGCGATCGCGGTAACGTGTCACGCACGTCCACGCAGTGTCCGGTCATTACGCCGTGCACGCCCACAGTTTCCACTTTCCGATCGCCAGTTGCACACCAAGCTCTACCCCCTCACGACCCACTGGGATACACCAGACACCAGTATCGCGGTCGCGTTGTGTGCCGCGCTAGAACTTCCGCGAGCACATCGGTCGCGAGGCAGACGCGTCTAACTCACACCCGGGTGGACAACTAGTGACCGCGCATCATGTTGACGCACGCTGTGAATACGAGTAGGTGCAATCTTGCACGCCGCATGCATACCGTGAATCGCGTTGCGGCGCCAATACTTCACGACTCAATCAATGCTTCGGGCAACACAACCGCGCATCAAATCCATAATGCTGAACCACCTACCGCTCCCGTGCATGGGGTGAACGCGCTCAACCCCACATGGAGCACCCCATACGTGCAGCCACTGGTTTTTGGGTCCCGGACGCCCACGTTTCACCCACAGCAACTGGTCAACGGGCTCCACCTAGCACCGCGGCCACAAATACCGTTTGCGGCAGCGGCGGTCGCGTTACAGAATCAACCGGGTAATGCGGTCGCGTCCCCGTCCGTGCCCAGTAGCCAGCTCTTTGGGATGCCCGTGCGTGGCTTCGTAGGGCCGCAGTACTCGAACGTGGGATTCAGGTACGGGTACATCGGCGTTCAACCAGACCCCATGGTGCACGCATCCGCATCTGTCGCGACGCCTCCTGTCGCGGCGTCAACACCATTCTCCAGCGCGATTCATCCGGAAAGCCAGCCAGCGGTGCAAGCCCCGCCAGAAGCATTAGTTGTCGGTTTGGACACACAGGCGCGAACAGACGGCCCATCATCGAACGCGGTTGCCGGTGGTTTAGGGCGTGCGGTGAATGGTGAACCGGGGGTGAATGCAAGCGCGCGTGCACATTCGCCGCCAATATGGAATGTCAACTCACTATTGCCCGAAAACCCCGACGTCCACATCCGCACCCCCGCGCATCCGACTGTAGCGTACGCGACTGGTGTAGGTGGGCAACCACAGGGGAACGCGGGGAACGCGGGGCGTGGAGCGGGTGCAAGCGGAAACGCGGTAAGGGGAAGAGGGACGGGTGCGAGAGGGAACGCGGGAGGAGGGACAGGGGAGAGAGGGAACGCGGCTAGAGGGAGAGGTGCGAGACGAAGGGGTGGGAGAGCGATCGCGGGACGTGGGACAGGTGCTGGAACGAACGAGTATAGTGCGAACGGCCAGGGAGCGCATGGGGTGACACATAACGGCGGCCGGGGTAGCGGTGTTAACGCAAACGGCGGGTCAGGTAACGGGCCAGTTAATAGACCGCGTATAAAGAGGCGGAGAGTCGATGTAGTGCCGCACACGGCACGCAATGGCTCCCGGGAGGGGAGCGAGGGGACAAGCGATGAGGATGACGAGGACGACGCGTACGATGCGGACGATAGTTGGAATGACGATGACGAAAACTACCTAACCAACTCGCTGTCCGCGCTCAACGAGGAGGAGGCGGAAGACAACGAACGGGTGCGGGGTACGCGGAGGGACATTGAGGTCCCTATCGCAGATTGGAACAGGCTAGGTGTGGACGACACGCCGGCCTCGAAACGAGAGATGTGTTACGGAATCCTCTACGGTGTCTCTGAGGCCACGCTGAAGAAGTATCGCGGTTGGGCCAACGAGTACAAGCGGTTCATGGCTCACGAGCTGCCTAAACTGGACGCGGGTAGGTTTGGTGATGAGGCCGCGCTGAGAAACGCGAACCCCGACGAGATTGGGGCCGCGCTCGAACAGAACATGGGTGGTGACTGGAAGATGGCGGAGAGCGACGAGCAGTGGTTCCACGGCCCTGAGACGAATCCGTGGCGCTTACGCAAATACGTGACCTTCCTCGCGAACGAGACAGTTGCGCAGGCGGACAGGATGGCCACACTCAAGCGGCCGCAGAAGACCTTGAAGAAGAGACGCCAGTGCACCCCGGCAATGCTGATGGGGCGTCTCAAGGCTTTGAACCTACTCATCAAGCTGGACGGGGCCATCTTCAGGAAGCCCGTTCTGAACCTGCTGCGCGACTTTGCGGAGTGTCGCATCTGGGTCCGCGTTCAAGTACGCGACCAATACAAGCGGTTTATCGCGTAAGTATACGTTCTCAGTGAACGCGTTTAATGCCTGACAATCCCGCGTCCACTAACACCCGCACTATCGTCCCAATCGATGCGCAGGGAACACATGGATCGCCATCGGGGCACGGCCGCGGACACGTACACCCCGGACGAGTTCAAGCATATGATGCGGAAGACCAGCATGGACGCGATCTTGACCAGCTTCACACTAGCCAAGAAAGCATACACGCAGGCAATGCATCGCGACCTCTGCATCCGGACGATGACCGTGCTCGGTCATCACACTCTGGCCCGCGGATGCACGATCAGAAACCTGCAGCTGCCACACATGATGATGTGGAAGCTAGGCGCAAAATCGGAGACCGATCCAGTTAGAAATGCGTTCATGTTCGTTTGCGCGTGCAGGACGGGCAAGACAAACAAGGACTTCTCGCTTAACTACATATCTGCTGTGAGGCACATCGATTGGACGCTGTGCGCGGTCGGAGCCACGCTGCTGTGGCTGCACTGGGTGTACGACTTGGTTCCCATCCTCAATGAGGACATAGCCCCCCCTCTCGACTTCACGGAACCCTCCACGTGGTACGATCAATACCTGTTCTTCCCCCTTCGCGCGGGCAACGAGAAGCAAATACCGCCCACGACTCATCACGACTGGGCGGCGAAAATACTCCAAGACGCGGGAATCACATGCTCGCGTGCGGTACACGCGACCAGGGCTGGGGGGGCGCAGCACGCGTCCGCGGACGGAATGCCTTCGGATCAGCTGGCGAGGCTGGGGGGTTGGCGCTTCATCGACGTGATGACTAAGCACTACCTCACAACCATTCCAAGGGAGGCCGTGCTGCTGAAGGCGGGCTTCACCGGGGTTGACGGTGACTACTTCCTGGGTCGCGCAACTGTTCCGGTCAGCGATAAGCTGGATGAGCTACTGAGGAAGCACATTTTCCCATGGGCCGCCGCGGACAAAGGACAGCAACAGGTATGTGTGGTCCGCGCATACGCGACCGCGAGCATCTCACATACCACTCTGGCACCGCGTTCACTACCTTGTTGTTTTATTGTCACAGTGCAAGGATTACAACCGCAGGATGGTGAAAACGCAGAAGCCGGAGAAGCAGGACACCGCGGGGCTAAACATACTGAAGGAGCTGGATGGGGACGCTAGGATGGCGGTCGCGCAAGACCTGGCGATGTATTACATCCACCAGCCGCGACACCCGTACGTGGTCAACAATCCGCTCTGCCAGATGGAGGAATTTGCGTCGTGGGCTGCAGATGTCTCATTGGCAAATCAACTCGCCATAGTACAGCGCAACACACCTACACTGACCCAGCCCGCAGTAAGTACTGAATGGTCGCGTTATGTTTCTTCCGTGATGTCAATGCCAAACCATAACAAGTTCGCGGTCGCTTTCTGTCCATGCAGGAGGTGAGTACCAGAATGGACGCGCAGAACCAAGTGACCGTCCTCACTGAGTACTTGACTCGTTCACAAGCGGAGAACACCAGACTGGGCCTAGAGTTGGTCGCGACTCATAAACGGGTGAAAGAGCTGGAGGGGCTGCTGGAGGATCGCGATCGGAAACTGGCCGAGAAGGAGGAGCGCGTGAATGATTTGGAGGCCTAGCTGTCGCGGCTCACCGTGAGCAGCTCAGGGGCGACCGCGGTTCCGAACCAGGCAACCACTCCTGGAGCCGCGGCCGCGTCGACCAATGCCACAACTCCCACCGAGCAGGGGACGCCGAAGAAACCCGCAGCGCCCACCAGGGAACAGACAATTCGGGACGCGATCGTCCTTCCATGGGTCAACGCCACCAAACCGTCAGACGGATGGAAGCTGTACAAGACAACGCACCCGCTGATCCTCGAGAGTCCAGAGTCGCTTCTGGCCCAGCCCCGCGGCGCAGTTACGCGAATGGCCGCGCTCATTGGGGAGGAGGGAGGCGGCCAGAACGCGATAAACCGTGTTAAGCGAATCATGAACTTCATCGCCCACAGGGTGGAGCAAGGAGACGACATCGCGGTAGTGCTCGACAAGCTCGACCTCATGTCAGGTGCTGTGGGCATGTCGGGTGTATCGGAAGGGATCGCGGTAAAGAAGAAGAGTGTTGACCTGGAACTGAGCCAGCTGAAGAAGGGTTCTCCGGTGGAGGTGCAGTTGCGTGTGAAATTGATGCTTGTTCGCGACCGTCTCATCAATGCCTCACTTCCCGCTTCTGAGTTCACAGTCGCGTGGCCCCAGTACTGTGCGCTGATGCCAGACTTGTAGTGTTGATGTTTTGCGCGAGGATTATGCTGATTTACATCCCGGCCGTGGTAATCGCGGGCTGCAGTTGCCTAATGTACATAGATTGTTCGAGACGTAGTGTGAACAATGATAATGTGTGGGAATACCTGAGACGAATGCAGATTACTACTAAAATGGCACACGCGCAAACACACGCACCCACTGAATCCTACAAACCTACACATATTGTTCCAAATGTCAACACTAGGTTCTCACTCGCACACGCACACGCACACACACACACACCCACACACACAAACACACACGATTTACTACATGCACCAGCACAATCCACCGCGAGTAGAACTCAAGCATGGCAGACAGGCTGTGCACATGCTACTCGATACTACACGCACTCAAGTCCGCTTCTTCAGACGATCCTTGGGTAGGGCAAGGTACAAACCCAAGGACTCCATCTGCTTCCCTGCCACCGAGCAGTCGCACCAGGTGATGATAACGTCCACCGTCTCGCGGGCGGCCAACTCAATGTGCCTGAGATCGCGAGACTTTGCCACGACCTCATTCACGACTCCGGACACGATCGCGGCGGCGACCGCCTTCGGGTCCGCGACAACCTGTGGCTCATCTTCCTCGCGGCGATTGCGCTTCCGTACCGCATTGATGACGTACGCGGATACTACGGGGAAGAGACGGCTTCGCTCTCCATAGCAACCAGCAGCACGCGCGGCCAGGTTTCCATTATCCGCCGCGGCAGTGACGTTAGAACCGCGATTGACCTCCCACACCATTGCAATGGCGCATGCGATCGCTCCCGCGTAGTCCGTCGGCTCCACGTCGCCGAGATCCGCTTCTTCTGCTGCAGCCTCCTTGCCTACCACCGCGGCCCATGCAATCACGTTGGTGGTGTGCATTCCGGGCTTGGTAAGCCCGCGGTAGGAATCGAACATGCGTTGCCACCTGCCACGCAGTGGGTTGGAGCGGTCAGAACATAATAACATACCAAACCGTGTGAACGCACTAGATGATGGTGGATTGGCACAGCTCACCTGTCCTTGCTTGCCACAAGGTTGCGGTGGTGCATGGTGATTAAGAGGCCCGTATGTAACCCCTCTGCGATAGACAGGTCCGCGGCCCATTCTCGGATCTGCTTCTGGCTCAGGTTCAGCCCGGGGTCGACCTTCCCGTCGTAGGGATACATCGCGATCGCGGTCTTGTACTGCAGGTCTTCGCGGTCGCCGTGTCCGAGCCATCGCTTCTTCCCCCCGAGATGGGGTTCAGAAACCAATCCTGGCCCGCCCCTGGGTGGAGCGCGGATGCCGGAGCCCTTGCGCTTGGGGCCGGTGTCACCATGTCCTCCCGTTGTGCCACTTTCCACGATCACGGGGTCTCCTTCTTGCCCGCTCGCGCTCTCTCCGCCGCTATAAATATCGACCGCGGCCTCCCCATCCTTCTCTCCTCCGTCGCCCGCCTCGACCCACCTGCTCACTAGACCCTCCAGCTCCTCATCCGCATCGTCCTCGTCGATCGTGTACACGGGTGGAGTGGGCAACTTCTTGCCACCCCGTCCGCGTTTCTCCGCCTTGCCCTCTACCGAGGCCGCGATAGGACTTGCAGATGCCAGCGCGCTGTGCATATGTCCCGCGGTGATTGCAGCACGAGCGGGTGCGAGCGTGGTCTGCCTACCCTCTGCCGCAGCACCCGCCGCGGACTGGACCTCACGCCTCGAGGCCAGCGAACGCGCAGCAGCCGGCGCCTCTCCATCCTCCGCCTTACCCTTGCCCCGCCCCACAGTACTTGTCACTGGCGCGGTTGCCCCGGCAGGGCCCGGTGGTTTGGGTGCAGCTTCTCCAGGTGAGATGGAGCGCGAGCTCGAACCCGGTTGACCAGTCGGTGCTGCACCTCGCGATGCAGCGCCCCACTTCTGCTTCAGCATGTCCTGCACGCTCGGATTGCGCACCGCGGCCGCTGCCTGGGGACCTCTCTGCCTCTTCGCCCCCCGTTGATTCTCCGCCTTCGCACCCGCTGCCCTCTTTCCATGCTCTGCATCCCCGGGCTCGGCAATCTCCGTCGCGGCCGTTCCTTCATTATCCGTGCGCGGAGGGGGGGCTCCTCCAACGAGCGCGATGAGGGTGTGCAGCGCGTTCGTGACCCCACTGGTGGTGATTGCCCGCTCTGCTGTCGCGGAGACCGCGGTCGACATGTTGTCGATCTTCCGCGCAACCTCGTCCGTCAGCTTCTTCTGAGCGGCTTCCATGGAGTCTGTCACCACCCCCTGCAGCTGTCCCAGCCTCGCGTCCACTCGCCCCAGCACCACCGCCTCCTGGTTACGGGTATCGACCAGGGCCGCCCTTTCCTGCGCGATCGCCCTCGCCTCCTTCTCCAACACCCGAACCGCATTAGCAAGCGCGGACGCAAGCTCCTCAGAGCCCACGACCGCGACACCACCAACCCCCGACTCCTGGCGTTTCTTTAGCTGTGCGTTCTCTTCGGCCAGCTCTGCAAGCCTGCAGTCGAGCTGCAGGATCTCGGCAGCAAGCTTATGCGATGGCAACGAGGACAGGGACGCGTAATCACGCGGACCTGTCACGGGACTCTTGCCCGCGACCTCACCACTCGGGCCCGCGCTTCCAGCACCGGGGGCCAAGTGCTGCGCGAGGTGCTTGATGCTCTTGCCGGATGTAGCGGGCCTGCTGGATGCCGCGGCCGCTACCACATGAGCCTCCGCCTCCTCCTCGCTCGACTCCTCCCCCTCACGCGCAACAGCGCGGTCAGCCTCATCGCGGGTTGCACCCTTAGTCGCGGTATCCTCGGCCCCTTCGTCATCAGCGTGGACCTCCGTCCCCCCCCGAGCACCTCCGCGATTCGAAACACCAGCGGCACCTGTGAGAGCGAGAACACCATGGTCAGCAACCTGCGCACCCGTAGCCTCTTTATGCACATTCCCCGTTTCAGCACCTTCAGCCTCACCGCCGTGCATGGGTCGCGTCAAGTCCACGCTCAAGTTGAACGCGAGCTCTTCGGCGGTGTGGTACGCCTCGTGCCACAGTGCATTCAGAGTCTTCACGGTTGGCCTCGAGAATTGCGGCCCAGATCCACTGGCGGCGACCGCGTCCAACTGGGCAAGGATCTTGTCGAAAGCGAACAGACAAGCTGTGTTGCCATAGGAGCCCTTCAATGACGTCGCGTCCTGGAAAACATTACATGGGGTTTGTTAGCACCACTGCAACTATTGGCGGTCATCGAGAACACGAAAACAACACAGACGTACCAGATCCAACAGACGCTCGGGATCCTTAAGCTGGCGGGAGCGGGTGCACTGAATGGAGCCGCGCGCAAAATCCTCGTCGAAGCGACCCTGAAACCACCTGCCCAAAAGCACATACATATCCACGCGAACGCACGGTTAGCGACATGAGCCTCGGAGCGGAAATGAACGTGGTACTGATGACAAACCAGAACGCGGTACTCACTCCACAATCGCATCAGCCGCGGTGACGTGTTCCGCACCACCAGTGGGAATAGCAACGCGAACGAACCGCGTGTTCCACGTCTCGTCACCGTCAAGCGAAAGGTGGTCGGGGTGAAGCAGAATGAGCATGCTCGCGTTCGAGCTCTTCTTGTTGACCACGTCCCTGAACGTGCCATTGACGACCGCGTTAAACCACTTAAACGAGTGCAATCCCTGTACAAGTGAACACTCCCAATGAAAACTCACTCGGACCAGATGCAGAAAACCACCAGGCTGCACTCCATCAAACCGGCAAAGGCTTGGTCCGCTTCATCGCGACCTGCGACTATGTCCGCGACAACACCGCTCGTCACTATTCGGACGTGCTCATGCACCTCCTTCTCCAGATACCTCCGGACAATCACGCTGTGCGGGACGGTGTAAAACAAGGCGGCAAAAGCTCAAACATCAACAACGCGACCTAAAAGCACAGCGGAGGTATGCCGCGGCCTGCACTGCCCACTAGTAACTATCGCTGACATGTCGCGAACAGCCTAAGCACCGCGACAATAACCAACGCGTGCACACTAGAGTCAGGGAATGGAACGCATGGATCTCACCCGGTGACAAAGTCGAACAGACGGGCCGTGAGAGGATGCTTATCCTCTGCGAGTTGCTTCCACTGTTCGGGGGGGAGGTCCACCGTGGTTCCCGCAACAGAGATGATGGCCGGACAGGAGGCGGCCTCCTTCGAACCAGCTCTAAGCGCCTTCATTTCGCGGTTCATTACTGGTTACGACCGCAAAAGCGCGACCAAAGGAACGGTGTATCTAGGACGAAATGTACGCGAAACAGTGCTCGCGTGTATCTAGTACGAACGGTTCGCGAATCTGTGCTCGCGGAAAAAAATGAGAGCTACGCTAGACGCTACCAAGCGCGAACGCGGTCATACAGAGTCTCTGCTAGCACTAGGCGACGAGGACCTCAATGGGGAACGGGCGAGCAGGAAGAAAACAAGATGTGAAGACGGATAACGAAAATGAGCACCAGGTGCCCGTACCGAGAACCTAAGAGTGGGCCGGGATGGAAACAAGAGCCGGCACTCGCGGTCACACTGCGCGGGCCTCTCACCCAGCGGGGAGGTTCCGCAACATGCACGCTTGTGCATCCAACGTCCGCCACGTTGCACACCATCCGCGAGCCCCGTTCGGAGCGGGCTGCCAACTCCCGCGGAGAGAGAATTTTCCTCGTCGCGACCGCCGAGGTCCGAGGTCCGATCGGGCACACCAATTCGGGTCACCCGAATTAACAGTACACTCCGTTATATTACACGTAAACTCGCAACGCGTTAGAGAGATTTATAAGGAAAAAAATAGGATTTATTTCGTTTGATCATTTCGTTCGATCTTTCGAATGGCGTACACTCCGCTCCGTACATTTAATCTTTCCGCGAACGATCGTTCGCGAGGGTCCTGCGAGCATTCCGACGCTCGTAAACGACGGCGATTGGCCGGCTCCATTTCCGTCGCTCCGAAACCGGCTCCCATTGGCCGAATCCGTTTCGGCCAGCCCG